ATGATACTTTTCCTCAAATAGGAACTCCCGACTCCTCCAATTTTTATTCTTCATTTGGCCTGTCATCAGCTTCTTAAGTCAAGGCTACTCTTCCCACAGTCACAGTAATTGAGAAGAGACTATTTTATCTACTGTTACCAGCAGATTATAGTGAAATCAACCAGCACGTACAAATACTATTTAACATTCTGGCATTCATATATGTACAGATAAATATATATACACACATACTCACTCTCAGGTGGACAATCCAGTATAAATTCTACACTTTAGCCTATATATAATATTGATATCCTTAATCTCTTTTTCATACAGACAGACACTGCAACTATCATGAATCCATAACTGCTAATCACATGAGGACAATTAAACAGTTGAGCAAATAATGGTCAATGTTTAAACTGGGAATGGATGCACAACTTCACCAGACAGGTCAACGTGACTGAAACTGAGAAAGGTTATGTTAAGTATAAAGGGCTCAACCCTGAAGTAATTTCCTTTGGTTGTTTTTTATAATCAGGTCTAATGACCCATTGTAAAACTATGTTTTGTGAAAGCATTAGACAGACACAATATGGACTAAACTCAGTTCAACCTATGTCCCTCATCTCCCTAAGGCCTAAGCTAAAAGCAGACTGTACACAAATACTCTGGTCCCACGCCTCCCACCCCCACAAACCCTTAATAACATGAGATCTGAGAGCATGTCTAGAAAGGAAGGGGGAAAAGACCTAAATCTCTGAAGACCTAAATTCAAAGCCAGAAAAGAAAAAGTTCTCCATTAAGCAGTTAACATTTCTCCTTTAAAATACAGAAGAAATATATTCTCTTGCCTACTGTAAACTGCTTATAGCCAAGCTTGTATACACACACAGACTTTCTTAAAAGACAGATTTTAGAGTGATTCATAAAAAGCTGACTTGAGCAGTCACCATAAAGACATTCTGCAGTTCCAAAGACAAATCTTCAGCTTATTAGAGCATACCATAGGAACTGGTCATCCCAAATAACTTTTGTATGCTGTACAGAAATTTTACTAAGTGATGCAACACACATCAATTATAGGCCCGTGTTCACCTAGCTCACAGACACTACAACTCCATAGCAATAATTTCATAACATTCTATGTCATCGTAACACCTTACTGGGAAACTAAGCACATGAGTGGATATGTTTGCCCTAATGCAAAAATTGCTGTAATCCAGACATAAAATTTGGGGAACGTGGAGATGAAGTAAGGTTTACTGAACTGTGAAATCAGAACCCTGCATGACTAAACCATTCTGTTTTATCAGGAAGAAGGAGAGACACACTGGCTACACAATTGTGGCTGTCACTTTGAGAAACTCAGTTCTGAGACTGTCAATGAATTATTTTGTCTGGTTCCTCACAGGCACTATAGAGGTTTCAGATTATAAATCACCATATCATATGAAAAGTATGTGAAGATGCCTCTAGTTAAAATATATCTTGGGACACAGTATAAATATTAATTAGACATGACCTGCATACAAATACTGCACTGCTATTGAAGATCGCTTCTGGAAGTGACAATTTACCTGCTAATTTACCTGCTAATTAGGAACTTTCAAAGATTCAATTCAACACTTATGATAAAAGTTAGGATGGCATAAAAATGAGAAATCACTAAGCCTCCTAAAAGTCTCTCTCTCTTTTAGCTGTCAGTGCAACAACAAATGTGCACATCCTTCTTTTCCATTTTCTGATGAAACAGGATAAAAAGATAAAGTCACATAAAAAGTATTTATCAGAATTTTCTCAATGAAGAGTTGGGAACTAACAATTACACTGTCTTCACACATATGTGGTAAAGACCACCACAAAGATACATTTCTTAAACTACCATCTCTTAACCCAGTAGAATGGAATTCTTCTGAAAACGTCTTCCTGACAATGCCCTTAAGACTGAGAAATAAAGCTAGAAGAAACCCTTTCATATTTCATACAAAGAGTTCTAAATAATTCCAATAAATCAGTTTTCTTTGGGAGTGCAGCAATATTTCAATCAAATCCAACAGGGAAGCCATTTTCATGAAAAACTGAAAAGATTTCTATTAGGGAAAAAAAATAAGGAAAAAAAGTTTTTCTACAAACTTACCCTTTTTGTAAACTGTGTACTACAAAATTCAAGCATCCAAGAAGAAACTAAAGTACCACTTAAGAAATGAGAAGACAGGGTAAGCTAGACTTTCAGACTTAAAACGAGCATCAGGGTAAGCTGTTTCCACCTTGGAATTTGGACAGAAAATCCAGACAGCTTAGGCTGACCAACCTACAGAGCTGTCCTACAGAGCATAGACACTATGAAGTTCCACTTACTCAGTTTTTTTAAACATTCAATATATAATATTTTTAAGCTTTCAATATATATGTATAACCACACTACAAGAGTATATCACCCATGCAAATGTTTAGCTTTTCTTTAAATAAAAAGGTGAACAAAATTGTGTTGTACAGCTATGACAAACACGCAACTTAAAAGGCGCAGGTGTAAGCGGGCTCTGAATTCAGAATTCATATTCAATCCCCTGTGCCACACCACCTCAATCTCCTGAAAGCATTAGCAGCCTCAGAAGCTGTTGTCAAAAATGTAGACTCATGAAAACAAAGGTTTACATTTCATTTGATCTAACATTAATTTAATCTTCTACCATGTATCTATTTTGTATAATAGAATATTCTAATCAACAATCCTGTTATCTACAGTATTTTACTTCACTTGGATAATGAAATTTCACAGTTAGAATCTTCATAAAACACAATGAAAAAGAGCTTCACATTCTTCTCCATTAGTAGATGATTCCAAAATACATAAAATAATGCAGCTTATTGAAGTAAATTAAATCAATATAGGTAAAAGCTCCATTTTTATGGCTGGCTGTTACCAAAGTAAGCCATTTTCCTATGCTATGATCTATGATTCTCCTTCCAATTGCAATTTTTTATGTCACAGATGGGTTACAGTTGGAGAGGAGCTATGGAAACCACTTGGTCCAAGCCTCTTACTCAATGAGAGCCACTGAAAGCCATCTCCCCACGACCATGTCCACAATATTCGAATACAGCCAGGGATGGAGTCTCTACCATCCACCTCCCCCAGTAACCTGAGCCCGTGCTTGGTTATGCTCACAGTTAAAATCTGTTTCCTGGTGTTTAGAAGGAACTTCCTGTGCTTTTTTTGTGCCTCTGGCCCTGTCTGTGGGCACCATAGAGACAAGTCTGTCTCACTTCTCTTTGCACCCTCTCTTCAGGTATTTATAGACTTTGATGTGATTCCCCCTCCCTGAGCCTTCCCAGGCTCTCCTATGAGGAGAAATGATCCAGTCTCAGTCTCTTAACCATCTCTGTTTAACTCTCTCCAGTATGTCAATGTCTCTCTCAAAACAGAGAGCTGGTTTTCATTCATTTTTTTCAAATGAAACTTTAGAAATCCTGCATTCCATTACCTTTTGGGAAATCCCTTATGGAATTGGCACTATGTATGGAATTCAGCAGCTCACTTTCTCCTTCTAATTCAAATCACTTTCAGTAAGCTACAAAGGAACAAATATCTTTCCAAAAATTCACACTTTTAAAGTTTAAATGTTCACTAACATTCCTATGAACATTATTTTCCAGCATTATATCAGTGTTTAAAATGCAATCTAAAAATTCATTCAGTGAAAATCATTAATTTAACACCTGCTACTAGATTATTTGTACTCCTTAACATTCAGTCATTACAACCTGAGTAATTATGTTATCAAAAAAGCAGTAATATCTGGAGGCAGTTTTAATATTACAACCCCATTTTTGTAAAGGGAGGGCATGCTGACCCAGGTTATCATCTTACTCCCTTAAGAACTAATAAAATTTGGGAAAAAGCAGATAGGGATCTAAAATACTGTTGTAAAAATCATGAAGCATCGTCATTTACAACATATTGTCATGAACACCATGATGTTTCTGGGAAAACAGTTTGGCTTATTAAATAGAAAATATGTACTGAATTTATTTGTTCTTTCTTTGTATGGCAAAGTAGTTTCTACCCCCCCAAAAATAGATGCCATAAGTTAAGGACAATCTGGAAAAAATACTGGTTGGGAGTACATAAAAGTACTCCTGAAAGCATTTAAAGCAACATGAAATCTTAAGGCCTTCAAACCACAAGTTCTAGAAGCCTTACACCACACTACACACTTCTGTAATAAAAGCTTTTTTTTCCTTTTAAAAATTTGCACTGCTTTAAACTTTTAGGCTGTAGTTTAAAAAAAAATCATATTCCACCATTAAAGTTAGTGACAATGTCTTGTGGACTAGACACTTGTTTATATTGAAAGTACAGCCAATTAAACTAAAACTTGTAATTTAAAGCTTCATGGAACAGTAATTTTTATGGCCTGATAAGTAATGGAGACAAACTTAGGTAACCCAGAAAGACCCAGACAAACATATTTATTTAACAGCAAATGTTTACTGGTCGGGCTACAGAAACAATACTGGGTTTTTTCCCTCCTTTGCTGCAAAGTCCTAAGAGTACACACACAAACACAGCCAGAGAGAACAAGGAAGAGAGTTACAAAAGAACATTAAACCAGAGGATAATTTATCTGCCCTGCTGAGAAGAGCTCAGGGAGGTAAGCCAAAACATCGAAAAGAAGAAAATACCAGAGAACTAAACAAAAGAAAGTAGAAGTGTAACACTCAACTAAAATAGTACAGGAGATTTATACAATACTCCACACCAACCACACTGATGAAACAATTTCTTGATGTCTCCTCTTGATCATTACCTACAAAACCAACAGCCTACAGAGCTCCTGACAGAAAATGTCTGAAATTATCACTTATACAAAGCATACATGACAAAGTATAGCACTGCCCAAACATTCAACTAGAGCACAAAGCAAGTGTTAGGGTGAGAAAGAACATACCAGCAGCACTTCTGCTAATGCTTACACGTTTCCAACCAGCTGCAATAGTTCAAGTGTGATGCTTACCTTTAATAGTTTCCTCCACAACTTCTACTACACGATCTATCTGCTGAACCTAAAAAAAGTCAGAAGGTAAATACCTAAGTAGTCAACAATTGGACATACTTTCATATTAACTAGTCTTTCAAGAGTGTCTTCTTCTGGATTAAGGGGGAGTAAAAATTTTTGGGCTGTGTTTTTAGCCAGTTTTTATTCTCTGTGGATCTTGGTCAATCTGCCAAAGGTAACTTTAAAATTCACCACCCAATTTAAACCAAATTTTGTCCTCAAAAATGGCAAGCTCATGTAAGTTTTGCAAAAATCACCAAATTGCTAGAAAAAAGTTCAGGCCTTTAGTGCTGTTCATGGTCTGTGACAGGCAATGGTGAACCAGGCACTCAGCACCTGGGTGGCTCAAACAGCTAAAGTGCTCCCTCCCCCCAGTTTCCACAGCAAATCAGTGGATGGTGGAGAAACCAACAAAAAGCTGAGGATATTGTCAGGGCAGAATATAGGGGAGAAAATTAATGATGTACTGGGGGAGAAAGACATTGGAACATAGAAAGAAATTAAAAATACTCTTGCAAAATTTAAGAAAACAAAACATTCTCTTGAACTTGATGCAGGCTGTGTTTAGAAATGGAGAGAAAAGCCCTCATGGTTTTCACAACACAGAATAATCTTTAATGATCTTTATATACTGTCTGCAATAAAGACAACAAATTTATGTTTTAGTGTTACATATGCCAAAATTCACCAATAATGAGATAAATAGTTCAATTATTTCTTAATAGATATATCAGTCTTCATTTACTAAAGTCCATGGCCATCACACTGTAGACATTGTGGCATACAAACTAAAAGGAATCAACATTAACACTGCAAAATTAAACACTCAGGAATTCTTGAAGCTGAGGTTATTTCCAGAGCTTGCATCCAAACCACCTATCCTGTGTAACTGTACTATAGATATTTACATACAATGCAGGAAAGCCAACTTGTCACACTTAAGTTTGTTTGCAATTTTCCCACAATATTCCTTTTTAAACACTGCTTCTCTACATTACATGAACTAGATTTACTATGATTTTAGCAGTCTTTTCCTTGGAGCTTGTTTTCCAGTTTGTTTCCAAAACAAGCAGAAAAGCACAAGTTGCAGATGCTTCAAGAGAAGAACCTGGACTGCAACAAGGAGCCTGGAACTTGGGTCCCTCATATCAAAGCCATTAAGTCTCTCTGCCCTAAACCACTGAGTTTGTCATTTCCTGTAAATACAAGACTGCACAATCTTGTCTACTTCACATTCATTTTTTCCAATCTGTCTAGCAGAAGTTAAAAAAAACCTCACCTATACAGTTGGAGTCTGATTTTAAATTCCCCACTGATGTCAGTGGGAGTCAGTTCCTTTCCTTGTCTGGGTGTTGGATCAAGTCCATATAAAAGTTTTTTTTTCTTTTCTTTTTTTTATTAACCTTTCGAAATACCAACTGTTAAAATAGGGATGTCCACCATTTCAGATTTTTTAATAAAGTATATTAGTTATGAATTCTAGAAATTAAGTTATAGTACTGCTAATATTTGCATTTTAATAATTTTATTGAAAAATAAATATATTTAAAGAATTTTCTGAATCACAAGCGTTCACATTACAGACAAACATATCTAGCAGTCAACTTACAAAGAAAGCACACATAAACAGTCATATGGAGCACATGCATATTTACATACTTGTGCACATATCCATTTTGGATATACTTTTTAAAATTATGACTCAAGATATTTAACATATGTACTTTCTACTAAATGTTTAAAAAATAAATAGAAAATTTCCTCTTGAAAATAGAAGTGTACATATTTAGAACTACACTACAGACAGGGAGCAAAGTCTATGTTATATTACCTAAAACACTATTGCTATGTCTCAGTACTAGACTGTTTACATTCATAACCATTTTAATCATTTAAAATATGAGAAATCTGGGTGGTTCATAACCCGAGCCACAAATTACTTTCTGCATCCTTCATCTGAGGAATTTTTGCATTGTTCCAAATCCCCTGTTGAATAAAGATAGAAAAAACCCACCAACCATTATATTGCATCTTCATTTTATTGGATAAATTAAATTATTCTCAATATGTCTGTCAAGAAGATGGCTCATATAAGTAATTAAAAATATAGGTCTGAGAGATAATGAGATCTGCACCTAGAAATGGATGTTTGTTCTGCCTTACATGTTATTTCCCACATTAAATATTTTTCATTTTAAATTATTGGAAATTATTTGGCTAATGCCCCAAGTGCTCAAGAAGAAAATGTGGAATGCTTCCAGTCTGCTTTTATGAAGACAAAAGTATCTTAGAAAATGTGAGGTGAATCTGAAGTGAGAAGAGGGAAAGGCTTAGAAAATTCTTATTTGGAAAAAAAAAAGGGGGGGGGGGGGGGGGAATGAAAAAGGAAAAAAAAAAAGACAAAGTCATAGTAATGAAATTTTCTTGAATATATAAAGGTCTGCTGGATTCCTTTCCTCACATCTCACTAACCTTATGGACAATTCTGCTCTGGACTGGTATCAAAGATACGTGTAAACCTACAGAGCAGAGCTCCAATAATGTCGCTCTCCATCAGGCATCAGGAATCCATGAAGCAGAGAGACATCCTGGTGGTGTATGAAGGAAATGACACCATTCCTCAGCATTGGTTCCACAGATCTTGTGGGACCTTGGTTTCAGCATAATTAAGTACATTTCAGACTTAATGTCCACCTCAAATGGTAATCCATTAGGAGGCAAACAGAACAAGAGCTACACACAGAACGGAGTTGACAGCTGAGTAGAACTATGCAAAAAGAAAAAACAAAACAAAACAAAACAAAACGCTCAACCACCACAAATCTGGGCTGAGATTGATATGGGCCAAGAGCACAGGCAAGGCTCGTGAACCCATGGAAGAGTAGCCAAAGCAGGAAACTGTCTGGTGAAAAAGCAAGGATAAAGAGCTTTATCAAAGCATGAAGGCTGAGTTGAGACAAAGGCCAGGAAAAATCTTTGACTCCTCCTGATGGGATCAGAGCTAGGCATAAGTGCAGCTCAGCAATCATTGTATCCATAATAACCCTGCACTGCCAAGCCCCCCACTAAACCATACCCCTAAGCACCACATTTACATGACTTTTAAATACCTCCAGGGATCATGACTCAACCCTTTCCCTAAGGAGTCTGGTCCAATGCATGACCACCCTTTACATAAAGAAATCTTTCCTAGGATCCAATATGAACACCCTAGGTGTGAGCATAATATCTATACAAAGCTACTTGAAGTAAAAGAATCTTTTTTTCTCATCTTGGAAAAAACCCTACACATTGATTCACATTGATATAGTTAAGAAACAAAATGGTCACTACATGGATAAAATAGTCTATCTTAGGTAATTAGAACATGCTATTTATAATCCTGAAGATTTAAACTCCAGTTCACCAGCTCTCAGTTTCATCTCACCTTGTTTAGGGATCTCTGCCAAATGCTGGATGTTAAAAGACTACTCAGCCTATCCCCTCTCTAAAGCCAGTAAAAGGGAAATACATGGCTTCAAAAGGCACCTCAGGTCTTCGAAAAATCTAAATTATTTTAGAGATAATTATCTTCATTGACCATAAAGAGAGCTGAGCAAAACAGAGTCTCAAATTACAGCATTTAGTCAAGATAAATCTAGGGCTTAATACATAACTTCAAAAGGCATGTGACTAGCCACCCTGGCTTCAGAGGGATAACATCTGTGTTTAAAACCTTTGCTGACAATACTGGCCATGGTAATGGGCATTACTCTGGGTTAGGAATGTATCCTGAGAGGAGAATCTACACAAACTTTAAAGGGAAGGGGACTACCAGAGATGCACATAAACAACTGATTTTCAGTGCTAAACACTGACACAGCTGAAGGATAATTCTTATCTAAATTAATTGCTACACCCTTTGATTTATAGGATAGTACATAACTGCTGCAGAAATTAACATTTTCTATTTGCACATCCAATTTTCAGTTTAAAAGCAGGTGCTTAACTGACACTCTCTTCTGACTTTCCAGGTTCAAGTGTGCTATCTGAATATCAACATGGGAATTCAAAAGCCAAAGCTGACCAGCTGAGATTTGTATGAAGTCATTCTTAGCCATAAGTTACCGAAGAAGAGTGTCCACCTCTTCCCAGGTTTTCAGCATGCTTTACAACAAGTTCTGCTAATTCAAATAATTCCATCAATTGTACTCCTAGGGAGTACAATTCCATCAAATTTGGCTTTCATGAAGTACATATTGGATATTTGCATTCATGCAAGGCTCTGTTTTAAAGGCAGCAGACAGGTTCCCAATCTTGAATGCAGTCTGGCCTTACAAACACTGCAAGGTAGGCAAGTATCACTGTGTCTGTTTTGCAAACATCATCAAAACTTTTATGAACTGAACCACAGAAATAACATACCATGTATCTTCCTCATTTACGAGGCCAAAGCAGTAGGGATGTACAGACACTTGGTAAGGTTCCAGTGATTTCCTTTCACAATGGCACTGCTAAAGCTCCGCTCACTGGAGCATTTTACAAATGAAGGAATAAGGTACATTAAACTTAAAAGTGTATACCAATTACAGATGTACAGCTTGAGAAATAAAGTGCTTGCTTTTTGTAATGCATTTAGCATTTTTACGCTGCACCATCTATTTTATAGCAGCACTCCTTTTGTTATGTGCTGCTGCTGGGAGTGTTCAGCACTCCCACTAATCACATTCCAGAGTTTCAAACTGGATATCAAAAGAAAATTACTTAAAGCTTGCCTTATACAGTAGAATAGGCAGGGGAAAGGGTCAGTTGGAGGTCAGGAGAACGCAAGGAGCCTTGGCAGAGGGCTTTTCATGGCTATGTATTTCTCCTGGAAGAAGTGGCTTCAGGCTCACCTTGGCCAAAGAGCCTGCAGTGCCCTACCATGCACGGGACCTGCTCCTTCTGACTCAGAGAGCAGCAGCAAAGGGGGGTTGCAGCCTTCCAGAGCAGCAACACTGGATCAGTTGTGTGGGTTTGTTCAGATGAAAGAATAGAGTGAGAGACTTCCCTTGGGTGATGGATGTAGGGCAGGAGGTGATAGGTCCTTGATGCTAGATGTTACACTGGGAAAGATAGAGAAGGAAGGAGAATTGGAGTTCTCATTCAGGATTCACTCACTTGTGGAGCTATTGTATGCCTTCAATGGAATACATATGTGGATTAGGCCCCATGCTTTCAGTCTGCACAGCAAGTTTGATGATTTCTAAGTATGGATACACGGGCCTTCTGAAGCCTCTTAAGACCTATAAACTCCCAGCAACCTGACCAGAGGTTCCAACACATAGCATCATTTGGAGATCAAGTACCTTAAAACTCCAGAAAATGTCAATGAAATAAAATATCCCGTTCCAATGGCTCAACTATCACTGAGAGCAAGGGTTTTGCATGTTCTTGTATGCAGATGAGGAAGTGAGGAATCACTACCATTACCTACTCCATTCACGGGCCCCAAAACATAACCCGTCAGCTAAATCTTTCATTCCCTCTTGTCTCTCCTTTTCCTTCCCCTAAGATCCCCTCAAAAGAATCAGCACAGTCACACATCCTACTTCTCAGCAACTAAAAATGAAACGTGATGGATAACTACATAGGAGAAGTGATGTCCCTTTGCACTGCATAAGCACTTGAGTTTGAAGTGAGTACACCACAAACACAAAGGAGTAAACTTTGGAAACCACCAGAGGGGAACTGGCTGTGAACCTCTGTAATGCATCATTATGTGCTTCAGGAACTTTACACCCTTGGCAGGTTTATTACTGCCTAGAATTTTCCCATTCCACAAAAGAGCTCCTTCCCCTTGTCATGTGGCATTATGGTTTGCCTTAGACAAAGCCTATGGCAAGGCCTCAACCCACATTTTGTTTATGAAGTGGCAATTATTTTAAAGAAACACAGAAGCACAGTAACATCACAAATGGTAAGAAGGATATGAAGCCCTTCCTTTCCTTCTGCCCAAATCAGGCAAGAAATAAAGAACAGTGGAAGTTCAGTCCTGTATTTTTCAAATGCAGATCAAAACAAGCTCTGGTTTAATAGGATTTCTCTGGTGGTTACAACACAACTTCCTCCTCCATCGTAACAAGAGGAGCCGAAGAGCCTCTGACACACTGCCTTTAGAAAACCACCCTGAGGGAGTTCTAATTGCTGGTAAATAAACACATTCTCAGACAACACAGTCTTTAAAATAAATATTGAAAAAGAGGAAAAAAAAAAAGGCAGGGGGAGAGAAAATAGCAGAATTTATATAAGCAACAATAAATCAACTATGTCCCTCAGATAAATTGAAGACAAGACCAAGCTGGTATTAAAGAAAGATTTTCAAAACTGTACCATTAATGCTTAAAATTTTAAAGTAGAATCAATATCCTATTGCCAACAGAACATTTTCTATTTCTCAATTCTGCAAAAACTGCCTTTCAAAAATATTTTGCAATAATAAGATAACAAGTCTTGTTCTTTAAATACAGTCACCCTCTCACACACATTCTTTATAAAATGGGAAGAAAATCTTAAATGTACAAACTGAAAACATAGAAAATAATATGCTCTTAGCTTTGTTTTGGTAAATAGTTTTGCTTCAAGGTTGAGACCTTTCTGAGCTGAGGGATCTCTTATTTAAAGCACAGTAAATTTTTCCACAACAATGACAGCCAGAGGACAGTGTCCTTATTGCAAAGACTACATTTCAGTATTTTCAGGTCTAGTTTCCAAGTACTTGGGAATACTGTATTAACACCTAATTCATCTCCTAACAGAAATCTTTCTGTAAAAAATAATAATATTTTTCATGAAACACTGGTTCTAGGTACTCAAATGAAGATGACAAGAAGAGGTTAATTTTCAGAAATTACATGTTACCTAAAAGAATTTTTTTTAAAAGAGCGGAAAAATGTATAAAAAAAATCAAACTTCCCAATTTTAATAGGTTAAATTCATCAAAACTGAAGCATTAAATTACAGTCTTGGTCAGAGGATAGTGATTTGCTCATTTTTGTCCCCTCTGTCTACATATGTGTAGGTATTATACTGGCTATAACAACCAATTATGGATCAATAACTTTGCGGCCTCTAAACAAAGAGGAAATCCATTCACCCATTATACTTTTTTCTTTTCCAAAGGTGATTCAATGATACAGTATTCAATGACCACATCCCACAGAATACTGAAAACACTTTATTACTTAAGTCAATGCTCTGTGGTTTCATTTTCAAGGTAAAACTTGGTAACTGTTTAACAAGTCAGTCACCAGTGGATTTAACTCTTCAGACTGCCTCAAATTTAAATGAAATAATAATTGATATTTTCCATTCTGCTTAGTAGTGTGAAGTAAAAAAAAAAAAACACCAAACCCTCGTCTGTGTCTGTGTAATTCATATGCTCTAGTCCCCTACACTTCTTCCACTGATTTTAACAAAGGTCTTAAGGCTTGTCTTAGAGCAAATAAACTGTGATATTCTTAAGAATATGGTAACTGATACCTTCATCCTGGATGAAGCCTGGAAATTTTCAGGCTTCAAAGGGCACTGAAAGTCAACTCCAACAACAACATCTTTTTCTCTCTCCCCTCATGCCACAGCCAAATCAAATCACCCTCGACTGAAGGAAGGTTTAAATGTTGTATAATGCAAAAAGATGAACAGAAGGAGGAAATGGCAGGAAGCTTCTCTGCTGCTTTTTCCAGGAGAAAGGCAATAAAGTCTAGATATTGACATTGACCTATTGCAAACATTTATGAAAATTTTGGATTTCTAAAGATACATACCCCTATAATACTCAAGCCTTTCAGGTACTCCTGGCGAGGTTGGGCTTGTGGCACGCAGCCTGCTAGAACAACTTTCTTCTTCCCTTCTTGAGCTTTCCTAAAGAAGGACAAACAGTGTCAATATTATTTTTTAATTATAATTTTCAACTTCAATACAGTCATATTATGCATGTGACAACAGAAAGCAATCACAATGAAGACCTCACCAAATCAGAAGCAACTTGAGCATGTCTGAGCCTCAGAAACCAAAAAAACCAACACAAAAGAACGCCATACGAAGCTACAGCACACCTGGTTCAGTTTGGGGAGTATGCACAGAGACCATGACCATTGCACATCTTGGACAAAAACACAATCTTGAAACCCCTAATCAAGTTCACTTACGTTTACTTGCCAAAATGGTAGAAGAGAAACTGGCCAACAAAGATGGGACAGAATAATTAACACTGATTCAAGAAGTTACACAGAATGCAAGGGACAGAGGACAGGATACAGGCAGGAACCCCTAGCTCAGAACAGACACATTTATGCAGCACCAGTCAGAACTGACCAGTTACATCAGTCATCTGATGTCTACTTAAAACATTTATTTACTTTGAAATATGCAGTTACTTGAAAAAGTTTAAGTATTTAAGCATATTGAGCACTTTCAAACTTTAAGTACTTGCCTCTGGCAGAGAAACATTTGTCTGGATACCTTACATAATTCCTTAGCTTTAACACTATCTTAGCATCAGGCCAGAAATCAAAAAGCTAAGATGAAATGGTTAACACCGTTCATCTCGTTAGTAACATTTTTACTCACTTTGAATTCAACAGTATCAAGTATCAGCACTGAGCCTCAAAACTGATGGAAGGCCTGCACAGAACTAGCAGCTACACACAAAACAGTGAGATGCAAAACCTGCCAATGTCCATTAAACTCTGAAGATCATCCATTACCACAACAACCAACACACCGACTGTGTCAACAACGTGCAAAACACAAAAGAAGGAAAGTGCTGAATAATATTAGGAGATTTGGTAGGTCTAACATATTATGGGTTGCTCAAAGAACAATCTTTCATGGTTGCATGTTGTATCACGGCTTCTGTCAAACCGGAACCTGGATCTTTTCTCCAGCAATGTATGAATTCATGAAGTGTTCACTGTTATGTTGGAATAGGCTAAGACACATCACAACACTTTTCAGAAAAAATTGCCACAATACACAGGTACTTAGACAATTTTATACTCTTCAGCTTGCTTGAGCTGTCTGCAAGATGAATGCACTAAAGGAAGTGATGTTCAACAAGCACATGAACACTAAATGAGTATCTGTTGACCTCCAGCAAAGGGAATTTTAACAAAGAAGCCCCAAACCAACCTAGAGTGGTACCACAGAGAATTTTCCTGTTCAGAATTTTCACTCCACACTTGTTATATGGATAAATCTGTTTACAATTTACAGCTCAAATGAAAGCTCAAAACAATACACAGATTGCAATAATAAAGGAGATCACAGGCCATTTTGCTAAATACTTGTGTTGGCTGCTGCACTAAAATGAGGTATTTTAAAGGCAAGAAACAAACACAAGTGAGAAATAAGAAGTAAATAGATTATGACTTTTACTTCATATCCAATATAAATGCAGCAAATACCTATAAGATATTTGATTTTGTTTTAGTGGGACTTGCAGGAAATATTCAGACATTCATCACACAGAATCTTGTTGGTCCTCTACTTGCACAGTGAGTGTATAATATAAATGCACATCTTTTCATCTCTTCCTTGATTATATTTCTGTGGGTAAAGAACTATGATGAGAAGCTAATTTAGTATATTTCTTCGGCACAGAACATAGAAACATGTCTCCAAAATCTGTAATCCCTCTTTTCTTTCAGTGGTAAACATTAAGGGTTTTGCAAAACTTCAGTGGAGGTTACCTACTACATATCCAAGAAAAAATAAGAAAATAAAAATCATACTTCATGCTTTACCTAAAAATGTCACATAGCACCATGTGACATTCCACTAACTCACAGGATAAAAATCACTACTTATATAGTCTAAGAGACTCAACCTAATGCCTGGAGGCAAGACAATAAGCCCTGTCTCCAGCAAACAAAGCACACATCCCTAGGCAACTTGGCATCTGGTATAATGTGCTGCAAGCAACAGCCTGCTCCATCTACTTGAAAACCTGTGAGCACCACAGAAGAAAAAGCTTTTATTCACGTCTTTTTGTCTGAGAAAAAAAAAATAAACAAAGTTTCCCTTGACACATTAAATGGCATTTTAATGTTATTTCACAGCTTTAACATTTTGCTATATCTTCTGGGAGTATAACTAGAGCAAGGTGGGGAAAGTTAAAATGAATATTCTTCATAATAAGCATTGCCTTCACTTAACTTCTAAAAGTTGTACAGGTCTCTACAGAGTAAAGAATTTTGTACACTGAGATTTTTTGTTCTTTACAGGGCAATTAAGTGGAAACGCCAGAACTAAATTTTCAATCATAGCAAATTTTCATTACCTTCATAATATACCACCCAATACATAAAACCCACCATAAATGAAAAGCCATTGTAAGGAAATTATTATTTTTTTTACCTCGTTTTCAAGAAACCACTTCTCAAAACATGTATTCCAGTGCTATATTGTCACCTCCTTTTTATATTGTTTAATGAGCCCTACTCATATTAACAAAAGCCTGCAAAAATTATCCTTCAGAAATCTAGTTAGCACAAGAACTGTATTAGAAGAGCCTTTAGTCTTCAAAAACATAAATAGTAAGGAGAATAATACCTCATGGAATCTAGTAGGTGGCATGAATAAATACATCTTCTCTTTTAGAGCCTTTTATATTTTTAAGTTACATGAACTTTACCTTGAACTTTCAATTTAATTGACTCATGAAACATCTTCTAGAAATACTCCTTTCTAAAAACTACTTGCAAGATATACATCTGAATAGAAATTTAATTAGAGCAATTATTAATTAAATTTTTTTTAAGAAAGGAATTATTCCAGCTACTTCCTAAGTAATGGGTGGGAAACAAAAACCAAGTGGGAAACAACAGAGGTGTGAAGTGCTGCATACAGCAGAGGAGTCACATAAGATTCATACTCCATTGCAGAGATAATGAAATATGTTCCATGTATTCTGCCTTTAAAAAGCAAATTTGAGAATGGAACTGGAGAATTTCTGCCTTGCCCATGAGCACTTGTATTTATGTTAGGAACCTTCCCAAACTGGAATATTTTTCTCATAATTCTATGTAGTTTGTTGCATGGTTCCTCTAATTTTTGTTTTTTAAGCTCCAAGAAAATTTAGTCAGTAATACAACAAATACAAAGAAACAACTCGCACCCTCCAAAAAAGCTCCCCATAAGCATTTGCTACATCAGCACTGTGTGTATAGCAACACTGCTGGCTACCATGGCAGCCAGTGCAGGAAGCTGTTCCGCTTTTTCATGACTCACACAGATACACGGGTGGAACCACCAAAAGAAAAAAGGTAGGGACATTTCCCTGAGGTTCAAATCTAAGGAAGGAAATAAAAAAGTGAAAGCAGAGAAGATGGGCCAAGTTCAACACAAGACCATCTGTGATAATGAAAGTAATTGCTAACTTGGTCTTTGCTAGAGACAAGAGGAGCCAGACCACCACTGTTTGCCTGCTCATTTCCCTTTCCATAAGCAGAGCTGTCCACTGGATTTTTGTAAGCTGTGAACTCTTAAGTAACTTGCAGCTTTCAGGGAGCCACCACGATACCCCCACCAAGGGATCCCAGCTGCAGAGGAAGGCTTAACAGGCCTCTGAAATAAAAAGCAGTCTGGTCTGCAGGGAGGAAAGCTGATAAACTACACACTTGTCAGCATCAAACATGCAACTTGTAAAGTGCTCTAGTACCAGATATGTGAAACCAAGTATTTTGCCTGCAAACCCCGTATGTTTTTCTTCCAAAACCTATTGTTGGTGGAATTAAATAATGAAGAAACATATAAACAATGAGCAGAAGGCTGACTGCAGCAGGACTAAGTAACAGTCAAATACAAGTAAGAGAAAAACCAAGAGCGGAATTTTTAAACAAAGGCAAGAAATTAAGGGAGAAGTGCTTTACAGTGAGCTTCTTCAGCTTTGTATGGATAGCACCTGGGAAATGTTCATAAGACAAGAACTAATTCTAATTCTGAAGTACAACTGGAACTTTGTTATCTGAAATAAAAAAGTAATTATTTCAATCTGAATCCTACTAAGCCGATGACAACTGACCATCCATGAGCTATTCCCACCAAATGCAGCACTCACCTCCTCATTGTTGTACCTGCACAAATCTGGAAACTTCCCTGTAAGATGTGTATACTTAAATTTAATTGTGCAATGCATCATTGTAGTCTATTCATATCATTCTCATGGCCTCCTATTACACAAAATCCACAACAGTCCTTATCAGGTGTTTTAGAAGGTGTGAAGCCATAAACACAGGGGAGCTTTGTGTCTAGAAGTGCCCAAAGAAATGTCAGTATACACAAAAAAGTTCTGCTACAGCAGCTCTAGCTAAATACAGTATTAACTGGGTATAGGATGAGATCAGGCTGCCAATGGTTAGAAAAAGTAAAATTTAGGAGATACTACTTCCCAGGCTGTAGAAATGGTGTTGTGATATCTCTGGGGAAAAAGAAATGCTATTTGGCTGAAGATGCAAATATGCGAAAGATCTTCCAACTCTCTCATCTGCTGAATTAATCAGCAGAAAGCCACAAGTCTTAAAGAGAGTGCAACATCCATGGAATAAAAAGATGGTGCCTGTACAGCATTTGGAATACACTCCTGAAAATCTATAAAATCACACAGCCATCTTCTGTTTGAAAAATTACAAATGGTAAGTTGAACTGTGGCTTTACAGGCTTGGAGGGAATGTAATGTCTCATTAGTACCCAAAAGCTCACTTCCCCTCCTCTCTGTCTGCTGTTGTTGCTCTTACCTTTCTCCAACGCCCCCTCTTTCTCACTTCTGGCCATCTGGTATCACTCCTCCTCTGCTCCAAGCTCTGCAGCTCACTGGGCCTTTCCACAGCCCCATTTAACTCATTGATACAGGAGAAATTTAT